TATATGTATGTATGATATATATATATACATTTATGATGATAAATATATTGTATTGTTATTTAATGTTTAAGGGTGAAACGAGAAAAGAGAAAAGAAGGAAGAAAATATTATTAATATGCGAACACATAAGAATAATATTGAATATTTTTAACGACTTGGTACAAAAGAAAATACAAAAAAAAAGAAAGAATTATATATATATATGTAATTATATAAAAGATCTAGTAACAAACGGAGATGCGTTTGTTGTTTAGTCGGAAGAAGAGGAGGAGCTGAAGGAGGAGGAGGCGAGAAAAGTTATTATTATTATAATATGAAAAAAGTAATATATGAAATGTATAAATATATATATTATACTATGTAAATCTAAAGACAGAGAAAGAGAGAGAGAGAGATGAACGATACATGAAGACACACACACTAAATATTAGGTTATATATATACTGATGTATTGTTATGGAAGTAGTAGATGATGAGAGGAAAGAATCTTGCTCGCGCGCTCAACTGTTATTACTTCTGTTTTGTTTTTACGTTCTGAAAACGAATGGGAGGAAAGGAGAGGACACGCCCCGGAGGCGTGGCTTCCGGGAATATAGAGAAACGATGTAAATTTTTTTCCGTTTTTTTTTTTCGAACGATTGGCGATTGATTCGGAGAAGATGAAATTTTGTAATAATGCGAGGACGAGAGAAGGGATTAGAAAAAAAGATTTATAAAAAAAAGTGAGATTTTTGCTCAGAGCTGCCATTTATTAAATTGTACGTGTATAGATAAGGTTATTATTATTATTATACATACAAACATACTTGATGTTGGAAGATGAAGAAAAGAATGAAGCGAACAGACACTTAAGTATAGACTTGATCGGTTATTTATATATTTATACACACAAAAATGAACATGCGACGCAAAGAATATTCGGTAATAAAACACTATATACATTATATATATATTTAGATGTATATACATACGACGGTTACTTTTCTTTTCTTTTTTTTTTCTTTCGTTTAGACAATTTTGTTTATATTTAAGATTTTCTTCTGTTTATATGAGATTTTTTAGGCTGTGACTGTTGATGATTAGAAAGAAGAAAGGAGAAAATTTAAGGAATAATTCACATTTTTTTGTAGACGCATTTATTACGAGGATGAACAAAAAAAAATATGTTATTATCGTGGACGCGTTTTCTTAATTTTCATTGTTAGAATTCTCTTTCGGGACGTGCAGAGGAGAAAAGATGAAAAAAAAGGGATCTTTCGTTGCCAAAAAAAAATCCAATCCATTTCGGAAGCCTAAAATAACACAGTTTTTGTTTTCTCTGTATCTTTTCTCAAATTTTTGTATCTTTGTAAAAAAATTTTTTGTTTATTTACTCTTTCTCTCTTTATTATTATTATTGATTATTATTGAATATTGGTAAGAATGCAGTGTTAAATATTTGTGTGTGTGCGATAAAGATGAT